AAGCTCTTGTGTTGACGGCCTAGACTCACCTTTTGCTACGAGCTTCAATGTGGCGGGGTTGGTAATGTCAAACGTCTTCCCATTTGATGATTCAACGAACTATAAAGTAGTTAGCGGAGGCGTACTCAATTGATTTAAGAGAGCCAACCTCTCCATTAATGAAGAGACGCGTCTCAATTTTCTCCGGTAGACCCATTTTGATGGCAGAAGTTCTAGAGCAAGTATATGCAGGCGTCCGTTGATAAGGGTTCAAAGGATTGTGGCAGCGTATGCTATCTCTTCCGTGGAGATAGGTGCGGTAAATTTGGAGAAGCAGCGAGGCTGTGGCACGGCGTTGCTTCGATGACCCCACCTCGGCGCCGTCTTGCTCCACACGTTCTCAAAACGACCCACCGGAATTATCAACCCGCGGCTTCAGACATGTCGCGTCCATATCACCGCCAATATAGGCGAGCCCATTCGCGGAGCCCTCGCAAGAATTCCACCCTTGCTGCGAATCTCACGTGGTTGGGGAATAGTTCCCTGTATCGCTGACAACTTCGTGTTAGACTGATAATGATAAGAAGCGGCGTAGGGCCTCAGCGATCGGTTGACGTGCACTTTCATAACCTTTCTGAGACGCCGACATCATGGGTAGCGAGATTGAGCAATTGAAGGCTATGGTGGGGAAGCTTCAGGCGGAGGTAACGCGTTTGAGCGGTATGTGCTTAGTCAGCTATCGATTAGCTTTCTGCGGCCTGCTAACGGAACACCAGATCAGGAGGACATTCGCAAGCTTCAGTACACTTACGGATATTATCTCGATAAGTGTCTGTACAAAGAGGTTAGTAGAGCGAAGAAACTACTTGACTAGAAGCTCATCTTAACAGGTCGCCAACCTCTACTCCGATCACCCTGACACATGCGTTGAGTTTCTCGGAGGCCGATACAATGGCAAGGAGGGCGTCAAGAGACTCTACATCGGTCGCTTCGCGAACGCCTTTGTAGCCGGACGCAATGGCCCTGTGCATGGCTTTCTTCTCGATCACCCACAGATGCAGGGCATTGTCGACGTCAATACCGATGGCACGCGAGCCAAAGGTCGCTTCCGCAGCATGATGTCGGCCGGTACCCACGATAGCATCAAAGATACACACCCTCGCGGCCTAGTACAATGGTGGGAAGGTGGCATATACGAGAACGAATACATCAAAGAGAATGGGGCATGGAAGATCTTCAGGTTGAAGTACTTCCCCTTCTGGCACGCGACCTTCGAAAAGGGGTGGGCGCACACCAAGCCGAACTATGTACCCTTCCTTTCGAAGACATACCCGGAGGATCCAAATGGGCCAGACGTTCTTTGCGATCGTCCGATGCTCTGGCCTGACACGCGCGTCGTGCCATTCCACTACAATCACCCTGTCACTGGTGAGCAAGTCGCCGACGATGATCTTAGAGCTCCACACTTTGGTCAGGATGCTTCAACAAGCACTCCTCCACTCGTGCTGAGCAAACCAGAATCTGATTCGTAAAGGACTGCTTAGCTTGGAATGCCGGATAACTTTATGATCATACCTCGCGCTGCATGTGTTGATATGGCGCATGAAGATGTAGCCCTTCCTTTGCTCAATGCGATTGGAATGATTGAAATCTTCGAACAAATAATATCAGGCCTTTCTGCTCGCATCAACATGTCAGTGGCGTTTCTGGTGTCGTACAAGCACAACGCGGCCACGGCTTCAGAGCTCTTTGCATCTTACTCTATGCAGTCTGACAGGTTTATTGGAATCACAAAGTTACATCGCTAATGATGCGCAGCAAGCCCTAGAGAATAAGCAAATGTACGCGACCAAAGTCACCACACAAGCCTTCGCAGTCACCACCATTTGATTTGCGCTATGGCCAGTTTTCCCGGTAAAGCACCCCTTTCAGCGGCTCGGAGACGGAGCAAGGCGACCTATCATCCCAGAGTCAGCTGCGTGCTGTGATCTTTCATAGCTATATTTGGACGAGGAACTCTCAGTCCAGCGCTACGGCTATGTCCGTGTCCGAAAGTGTAGAATCGTCCCATATTCAGGGTTCAATGTGTGTCGGACCAATAGTCCCGCTTGCGATCTCGCGCGGTCGCATCAATCCGGGCACAACAACCCCTGTAAGCATCCCCAACTACCCCGCAAGTCCACCTCCCCACATCTATACTCGTAACTTTCGAGCACGGCAGTACGTCTGGTAGCAAATCAATGCGTCTCCTTGACAAAACGAAACATCGCAATATGAGCGATAATCAGTATTAGACCACCTTACTGCCAGGTGGTCTAGCATAGCACGAACGCGATGGCACACATATTTTCTCTCGCGAACCCTGCCTCATCAGCGTATCATGAAGGGAGCCGGTCGGATGACCAAGTCAAGTTCCCAGATAGTGGCTTCTTCCAAGGCTTCAACAAACCATCGCGCCTCGAAGCCGACATCTTTGAGCTCGAGACGACTGGTACAGTGAGTATGTCGTCCTGTAGAGATAGAGCACGAAGCTCAGTGCTCTCAGATACCCAAAGATATAAATGGAACTTTCTTCCGTATACAGCCGGACCATCGCTTCCCACCCTTATACGAGGAGGACATACACTTCAACGGCGATGGTTCGGTTTCAGCATTTCGTTTCGAGAACGGTCACGTCGACTTCAGACAGCGATATGTACACACCGATCGGTTCAAGGCGGAAACGAAGGCGCGCAAGTCTCTACTTGGCCGATACAGAAACCCGTATACCGATAACGAGATGGTGAAAGGCATCATCAGAACAGCTTCCAATACTAACATCATCTTCTGGCGCGGGGTGTTGCTCGCCATCAAGGAGGACGGCCCACCTTTCGCTATGGATCCAGTCACACTAGGGACCATTGGCCGATATGACTTCGATGGTCAAGTAAAAACTCCAACGTTTACTGCGCACCCCAAATTCGATCCAGACACTGGAGAAATGGTATGCTATGGCTATGAAGCTGGAGGTAATGGGTACGATGCCAGCTGTGACATCGTAGTATACACGATCGACAAATATGGGAAGAAAACCGAGGAATGCTGGTACAAAGCACCGTTCTGTGGGATGATACACGACTGCGCTATCACGAAGAACTATTTGATCCTACCACTCACACCAATCAAGGTCAATGCTGAAAGGCTCAAGAAGGGCGGCAATCACTTTGCGTGGGACCCAGACGAAGACCAGTGGTACGGCATTGTGCCTCGTCGGAATGGAAAGCCAGAGGATATTGTCTGGCTACGGGCCGACAACGGTGTGTATGCTACTAGTGATGTCGTGACAGGCGCTAACGATTTCAGGCTTTCATGGTCACGTCGCTGGCTCCTACGAAGATTCGTCTGGAAACATCGTCGTCGACCTGACCATAGCTTCAGACAACGTCTTCTTCTTCTTTCCACCAGACAGCCAAGCAGACACACCCACGACGTTACTCCAACGCAACAAGCTGGTCTCTGATACTTACCGCTGGGTCTTCGACCCTAAAACTCCCACCGACACGCGGGTACAACCTCACAAGCTCTTTGGTATCAACGGCGAGTTCTCCCGCATAGACGATAGAGTTCTGACGAAGAAGTACAACCACTTCTGGCAATGTAATATCGACCCGAGCAAACCGTATGACTTCCCGAAGTGTGGCCCGCCCGCCGGTGGTCTCTTCAACGTACTGGGACACTACGAGTGGGACACGGGGAAGAAGGATACCTTTTGGGCAGGACCGACATGTACGTTCCAAGAGCCTGTCTTCGTCCCGAAGGCATCGTCTTCTCCATCAGACTTCGTGGAAGGCGAGGGATACATCATGGCTCTGCTCAACCACCTCGACGTCTTGCGCAACGACATCCTCATCTTTGATGCGCAAAACCTCTCCCAGGGGCCGCTAGCTGTCATTCATCTACCTGTCAAGTTGCGACTCGGTCTACACGGTAACTTCATCGAGCAGAAAGACATCGATGAGTGGGCCGAGAAGCGCAAGAAGGGCGGTGAGGTTGGGCCGGCGGTACCGGCGAAGGAGATGTTACCATGGCAGAAGAAGATGGCAGAGGAGGAGGGCCTTGGGATCGCGGTGCCAGTGCCGGGAGAGGATGTCCTCAACAGACCGAACGGCAAAAACGGAACTAACGGTAACTGATTCGGCTGTGAGGCTTGACTGAAGAGGAGAAGCTGCTAATGCAAAACAATCTCGATCGTGCTGGGAGTACGTTTAGTCCATCTCGTTGGTAAACCACGAAATTACGTCAACCTAGGAAAATCCTGAGCACCCTGGAGCCTACATCTATGTCAAGTCACTTACCTTGCATGATTCTGTCTTGATGTAGTCTTCAGACCTGTTTAGTATTAGCTAAAAAGGCGCCTGTGTATTCATCACATATGCATGTCAGCCTAAGGAAAGTCTAACACCCTAGAGCCTACATCAACAGTACATTACCTACTTTGTATGTTTTTATGTTGATGTAGCCCCCAGACCTATTCAGCTTTTATCTTATCCAAAGCGTGCGGAATATTCTACCAGGTAGTTTTAGAAAGTGGAGAAATAGTATTTAGTGAAACTAAGAAGAAATATACATACTACAATCTACATCACTTAGAGAGGCTGTTCGCTGAGCGAAGACGTTGAACTAGACGAGAATCGCTGTTGTCAGGCGAAGATTCGTGAAGAGCAGTAAGCCAAGAGATAAAGCGAGTGGGCTTTGGAGACTGAAGGAAGGGTGTAGTCGTGTCAAACCCACGAAGCATCTCGCTGTATCGCGAGCAGAGGTCGTCGACGTCGATGTGCGTCCATGCATATTGCCCAATCTCTGTAAAAACCTATGCGTAGAGCACTGCGAGTTGCGGGGACACGACAGCGGTTAAAGAGAACAAAACTTCTGGAAAGCGGTCGACTAGGTATTGCCATGACCCGTTGTTAGTTGTCAGTCCGTCCACGCCCGGAAAGAGGAATAAGACACGGATGCGCCGACCCGCCAGAGCTTGAACATGGTCAATGACCCTTCGCATCGTGTCGTAAACGCTTGCCACTCGCGCTGAATGTCCAGCTGAACTGAGAACTGGGAGTGTCGATGTGATGAACCCTAATACCAGTGGGATCCAGACCGGCCTAAATCCTTGCATTGCTAGCGCTCCCTGCGTGTCCATCTTGTCGTGGGGTCTTGGGTGGTTGTTGAAGACTTGTTCCCATTGATCATACATCGCTTGTAGGCGTACATCGACTTCTTCCGATTCGTTGTGGAGGACTTCGGTGTCGGAGCGGACGCTGTCCCGTGGCCTGCCCGAGCGACGGAAGCACGGAAGCACCAAATCGTATGTGCGTGTCGGGTCAGGCGGCGAAGCGCAAACATGGAGATCTGTGCCAAAGATAGCACGAGCCGCGGTGGCGCGGATGGTAGTGCTGCCTTCGAGGGCGTACGCTTCGATGCATGTAGGGATAATGCGCGTACTGGCCTTGACGAATTTCCCATCAACAAATGAACCGGGATGGCTAACGTTCACATGGGAGGATTTTATTTTCCTCCTGCCCAGCGTTTTTCTATTGCGCAGCATAGTGCGCAGCTTATGATGCATTTCTTGGAATTCTCCATTGCGGACTGTAGCAAGGTAGCGCCTGGCAAAACGTCGCAAGAGAGCTTTCACTTTGCGACCACTGAAATCTGGTAAATCTAGGTGCGGAAGGTTCTGCGTCTTGTGTTCAAGAATGGCGACGGCTTCGCTACGGACAATGATGTCCTGCTCGTCGGGGTCATGGTGCGTAAGATAATGTCGAATCTTAGGAGAGTGAGATATGCGCTCAGCGTAGCCATCGCTGCTGTCACTGTCATAGTCGTTGCCCTCGGGGTCATTGCTCTTGTCATCATTGTAGTCGTTGTGGTCGGGGTCCTTGCTCTTGTCATCGTTGTGGTCGTTGTCGTCGGAGTCCTTGCTCTTGTCATCGTTGTGGTGGTTGCCAGATAGATGCTCGATGTGCGCATCGAGCGCAGCCTGGCTCGAGCAGTAGGGAGGATCACGGCCGCTGATAGTGCTGTGTGCTTCGGTGAACAGCTCCCGGCGGAGTGCCGTGCCAACGCTCAAAGCGTTGGAGGCCGACTTCGCGGGCTGGTCATTGTGAAGTAATGTCCTCACATTCCACGCTGCGAAGACTCCGCAGTCATCTGCCTCTTGTTGTACTGTGTCCTCGTATCTAATGGCCACTGTGTTCCAATCGACGTCCGCCAATCTCGACCGGGGGTGAGAGAGCGCCACCAGCGCAAGGAATTGCCGGAGCTCCTGCTCGAACATAGAGGTAGATCGGTATCTACGTCCTGTGTCGTAGACGCGCATGAGCCCCGCCCCAAATTCCATGCATAGCGCCTGCACCACTACCCAATGGCTGTTGGTTGGATTCCAAGTGAAGACGATGGACGCTGCGGCGTCGAGCTCAGGGATGATGAAGACTGATTGCGGAACAAGTGATGCGATGTTGGGGCGTATCTCGGGGTTAGATGATGACTTTCCGATGGTTTCCATGTATACTGGACTGCTTGTAGCGACATACACGACCTCCGGTAAGTACCCCCGTGAACTGCCGCATCTCTCGACAAGGAAGTCGATAGTCGTGCCGGGCAGCCACGTCTTGGCGTAGCACACCTCGAGCATAGAGGCGAGGCTGATAGGCCACGGTCCGAGCGGAAGAAGAATCAGCGGTATGGCACCGTCGGACTCTTGATATTGCTGCACCGCCATTTGAACGACGTCACGGAGCATCCCCGCCCGTGGGCATGTGTCCATTCGGAGGGTCAGCTTCAGGATGTAATCGGATGCGCTGTCCAACTCTTTTGCCCTGGTGATCTGCATTGCCTCAATGTCCGACTTGCTTGGTGGCTGTGAGAGGTCGACGGTCAGCTTAACCCTTTTCCGGGACTCAGGCTCTGGGGGCTGCGCGCTACTCTGACTGAACGGGATGGCGACGCCATAATCTTCGTGGTCGTCGTTGTCCGGAGGAGGAGACCAGTCGTCCTGTATGCCGAGTGTTCCAATGGGGGTGGCAGTGGCAGTAGATGCTGCCGTGGGAGCAGGCGTCGCGGTTGCGATGGACGTCGCGGTTGTAATAGGGGTGGCGGCTGTGATAGAGGTGGCAGTAGCAGTACATGCTGCGGTAGGAGTAGGCGTTGCAGATGTGATAGGCGTCGCAGATGTAATGGGGGTGGCGGTTGTGATAGGCGTCGCGGATGTAATAGGGGTAGCTGTGGCATCTAATGCTGCTGTAGGAGTAGGCGTTGCGGATGTGATAGGGGTGGCAGCTGTGATAGGGATGGCTGTGGCATCTAATGCTGCTGTAATAGTAGGCGCTGTGGTTAAGGTATTAGCTGCGGTTGGTATAGGCGCTGTAGGAGTGGGCGTCGCGGTTGTGATGGGGATGGCGGCTGTGATGGGTATGGCGGCTGTGACGGGGATGGCTGTGGCATTTAATGCTGCTGTGGCATTTGATGCTGCTGTGGCATTTGATGCTGCTGTAAGAGTAGGCACTGCGGTCGAGGTATTAGCTGTCGTTGGTATGGGCGCTGCGGGTGAGATTTTGGCCGCAGTTGACATGGGCGCTGCGGTGGTGATGATCGCGGTGGTGGTGATCGGCGACTTCCTTGTAACGAATTCTGCTAGAGGTTCCTGTTCGTCGCCGGCTTTATGCTCAGTTCTCGGAGTCTTACTAGGCTTCGGCGTAGAGGGGGGCGGTGTCTTAGGTGCTAGAGGCTTCTTTCCGTCACCAACTTCATGCTGAGCTGGCGTAGTCTCATCAGGCTTGGACGTAGAGGCAGCGGGTGTGCTGTTCTTCTTGTCGTATGCTTCTCTGTGTGTCTGGTAGGCCCGCGTGGCTCTGAACTTGTTGGCGGCGTTTACCTCCTCCCTCAGGAAGGGTTGGTAGTCCGGCTCTCGTAAGATCCGATTCATGACATCAATCTCAAGGCGCTCTCGTCGGCTCTGGTAGTGAGACATGCTGGGCTGAATGGAGTGGGCAAAGCCAGGACTGGACAAAGACAACGCGGAAGAGAAGAGCAGAAGGGCAACGAAAGCGCAGCGAAAACACTCTCAATATGCTGTGGCCCCGCATTTTGGAATTGATTGTGCGCCATGTCTTTCTGTTCGAGGAAGCTGCGCAGGCGCAAATTTGCGGGGCGGTGCGTTGGAGGAAGTCGCGTTCGGGGACGACGAGCCGTACTGGGCATGGGATCCCATCTCACCCACATGGTGCCAGGTAGGGAGCATCTGTCTGGCTGCAGACCAGAGGCATCATGTTCCGTAGAGCTTAGCAAGACAGAGTCCGCTTCACAGTGAGGTAGGTATGCTGGGGGTGCATTGGCGACCCGAGTGGATGCCTTTACAGTGTTAGTTGTCTATTAAACGCCATGAAAACTGCCACAAGGACGACAGCTAGCAAAGAGAGCCTCTTTCTTGTTTACCTGATAGTTGTAATGCAATACATCGTGCTGCAGCGCGCAAGTTAAGCCAAATTGGCCACAGCAACGAGCGCGATGCTTGCGATGCCTGCGATGCCTGCAATGCCTGCAATGCCTGCGCGCTGCAGCAGTTAGACGACTAAAGACTGCAGTAGCCGGGGAGCTGAAGATCTGGTGCGAGCACAAACATCCTAAGCATTGGGATATGTGGTACTTGAATACGGAGAGTTGTAGGTAGGTTGGAGTCTTCAAGTTAGTGGAGAGAGACCCTTGCGGTTTAGCGCTGTTCTGAGCGTGGGTGACGTCATAGATCCTGCGCTGGGTTTAGACAAATTGTGAACGTCAACCAGGGTACGACGGATTACCGCTTACATCCAGTCAATCAGTAGCCACACCAACGAAGAACATTCATTCAATAATGTCTTCCAAACGCCCGTTCACCGACCGTGCTTTCTCCTCCCACAAACGTTCACGATCTGAGAACACTGCACACAGTGCGCCCTCTTTCTTAATAGAGACTGCACGTCTCTCTCTACATTTACCTTTTGCTTCTGCAGGAGATATACCGATCATGGAGCCAAAGATTGATACAAGATGCGCCTGGCGACTCGGTTAGCCCAGGCTGCGAAGCCTGCCACTGCAAAGTCTGTCAACGACCACCAAACACTTGGTCGCCCACCAACCCGCGATCAACAAAATCTTAGATACTCATAGCGTAAGCACTCTCGGTCCTGTTCGATACGTCGCGCGGACAAGGCCTACAGAACTGGCCACCTCCCACCCAACGATCGTATTCTATACGGATCTCGGAGAGCCGCGCCAGTACGAGCACTGCGCCTCTGCAGTCCAAGAAATCGCTCAGTATATCCTATCCAACAACATAGACGCTTCGATCGAAGCTATCGACCGAGTGGTCGGCGAGAGCTTCACAGTCACAGCATTACAAGGACCGACGGCGGCAGAGATAGCGCGTTATTGGGCGAGCAAGAGACGAACCCTTCTCCGTACGATCGCGAATAGGAAGTGGCTGAGCCTTGACTGTGTTAACCTTGGAAAATCCACCGACGGTCTAAAACCTACTATCGTCATCACGGCATCAGACGCAGACGCAGATGTGTGGGACCAGATTATAGCGAGAATCAGCGTTCTCTTTGACTACAAGCTGGAGGTAGAGCTCCTGTACGGACCGCGCAGTAGGATCGATCTGGCGGATGCTGTGGGAGATACCGAAGAGGCGGAGATGTCGGATATTTCAACCGAAGTAGAGGAAGAGGCGGACTTCGCAAGCAAGGAACTGAAGAAACCCAAGGGTATCGCGAATGAGTCGGAAGACGAAGAATTCTGCCGTCCCTCGCATTTCTCTACCGACATCTACCCTGGTACATCTGTAGGAGTGAAGGGAGGCCCATCAGGAAGCGTCGGTGGATTCCTGAAGATCGAATTCCCTGGACTGCCTACTCCCGCCACCCAAGTCGGTCTAACTAACCTCCACGTACTATGGGGAGGTGACGAGAAGCCAGTGCAACCGCCTCATCTGAGGGAAGCTTCTTGCGGCTCGGTCACCGTAGTAGTACCATCAGATCGCGACAAGACCCGGTACGTCCGAAGACGCAAACTCATAATCAACAAACACAACAGATATCTCCGCGACGCAAGTTCGAAGCATCAAGCTGTAGAATCCGAGAGCCATCGGTCCAAAAGGCAGCAATGGCGAGAAGAAAGAGAAGAAGAGCGCAAAGAGCGTAAGCGGGTGGAAGAGGCATCCAACGTTGCAGGAACAACATGGGCAAGCTCAGCAAAAACCTCTCGTCCTCATCCCAGGTACACAGCGAAGCAGCATGAGAATTGGACGGAACAAAGCCGCAGTACCAACGATACAACCGAGGGCCCAGCCCTGGAGTGGGACATTGACTGGTCGCTATTCTCGATAGACGCACCTCGCTTGGCGGTATCAAAGACTCCGCGTTCAACTGATCACCGGCACTCTGCATCAGATTCGGAGATATCCGAATGGGGTTCGATACAAGAAGATAGAAGCTATGAGGTCGTCAAGATCGGTAGGACTTCAGGGTGGACAAGGGGAGTCGTCAACCGTGCAATGTCCATACTCAACACCAGCGTACATGCATTTAAGGAAGTCGACAACACAGGTGGGAAGACCGACACCTTCAAACCGGTACTCTGCCACTCCATAGTATGTACGATGCGAGACGGAGCCCCTTTTATATCCCCAGGGGATTCAGGTTCTCTCATCCTCCTTAATGAAGAACGTCACGACAACCAGGCGTGCATTGTTGGCCTCGCTATAGGGGGTAACAAAACAACAAACATCGGTTACATGGCACCGATTGACCTGATATTGATGGACATTGAGGAAAAGGTGCAAGGAAAGGTAGTATATCCAGTGTCGGTGGGTATTAAATTGGGAGCGGACATGGACTCTTGATCGGTCCGGCGAGTAAAGAAGTATGAATATGAAGTAACGCATTCAGGAACATCCATGTCTAGAGGGTGATAGATGTAAGCAGCCAAGAGTCTACATTACGTTGGAATTTTGCCAGTTTCTGTTCTGATACTAATGTAGACTGCAGCTTACCTCTACAGTTTAACCTTTGAATGCGCTAATAATGCGAGAAGTTTAGGTTTTAATAGACAAGTTATCTACAATATAATAATAATTAAGAAATTTGACAACGATAGTACATAGTTAAGCGCTAGCGCATGGGGCTGATGTTATAGGAACAGAAAAGGTACTCCAAGAGAGGAGGTATGGCGGTACCGTCCTGCACCAGGAGAAACTCATGCGTGGCGGATGACGCGGTTAGCCGGCTACCGCCAGTGCGAAACTCGACGACGATGGGTTAGGAGCGAAGAAAGGGCACATTGCGGGCGCTGTAGTTATGGTATAACCAAAATGGGTATAAACTAGGGCTAGACGTTGGGACGATATGGCGTATTAGTTTGTACAGGCCAGGGGATGGACACCCATGGTGATCCCAGCTTGAAACCGGGCAACGGGCTGATGCGGGACTTGGTTAGATGGGGACATAGGGAGTTCAGAAGTGGAGCAGCGCCCGTGGCGCTGCTTCGCACCACTGCAGTGTCAGGGAATGAGGCGGATCAACCAAGATATCGCCACGCACCTTTTCCATGCAAAGAAGGATGTTTGGCCATGTAAGAACGCAGGGAAATCAGACGAGGAGGAAAGTCATACCGTAGGATAACCTCGTAGAGCGGACGGATCGTCACTAGATATCATAGACAACGGGATGGGACTCGGCGTCTTCCCCACCCCCACCCCCACCCCACCCCTCGGACGACTCTCAGTATAGCACCACCAGCACTACGGCATTACAGACTCTGCTTCGGCATCCAATCTAGTCCTTTATCGAGAACAACATCATCATCGGCGCAGCAGTATGAGCCAAAAGAGAATATTAGAAGATGCTGAAGTCGCGCAGGTGGAACACACCAGCTGCAAACGTGCCAGAGTAGACTCGTCTGCGCCCTACCCCAGAAGAGACGTCAACGCGAAGAGGAGAGAGACTGGACACAGGAGCGACCCGATCCACATCCAGACCTCGTCCCAAGGCGCTTCTACGCCCTACCCCGGAAGAGACGTCAACGCGAAGAGGAGGGAGACTGGACACAAGAGCGACCCGATCCAGATCCAGACATCTTCTCAAGGCGCCTCCTCTGTCGTTCCACCGTCCACGCCATTATGTCGAAATGACCTAATGCCTCCGCCGTTTCCAGACCCAAAATTCGCCAAAGCCATTTTGTCTTCGGACTACGGATCGTTTCCGCAAGAGACCCAGTCGTCACAATATGGATCCTTTCCAGTGCTCTCGTCTCCATGCGCGTCCCACAGACCTCTCCCACTTCCACACCACCAACATAAAGTCTCTTCTTCTCTGCCATGTCTCCCACAACAGGGCCGGGCAAGAGAGTCACAAGGAATATCGTGTGCAGATACAAGCCCCTATCTGACTAGTTTGCTCGCCGACTACGAACACGTCGGAGAACCAGACCCCGCATACATTTTAACAACATGCTCGACAAGTAGAGGAAGTAGCAACGAGTTCGCAACACCCTATACTACGTGGCGAATTAGGAGGTGCCTCAGATCACACGTACTACACAAAGATAAAGCGCCCACCACACGAACTTCCCATTCAAGCCCAAAGTCCACCCATCTAGGGCGTCAATTAGGGTTCGTACTCGCGTGCGACTTGAAACCCTACATCTTCGGACCACTCCATGTGATCTGATGTGGAACCATGAATTAGGCGCTAAGATGTGTATGTGCAATATGTGATTCCTATTTCTGACGTACTACCTGTCATCCTCAAAGTCCATGTATGTCCTGCTGTTCCATCTACCTGCAGCACTTCCAGGAGGCCCTCGATATATCTCCGCTTCACAAACGCCAACTTAATACGGTACTCAGGAGCTTTCGCCGCATGCTGTAACCAGTCTTCGTCCCTTCCTTCAACACTGAATACCCCCAGCCTCTGCTACCACCTTTGAGAAATGAAACCTATGCATGTGGGGTATCTTCCTAGCGTCAACCTCATCTAGGGTGTAAAAGATGTCCCGAGTGAGGATGGAAATGGTGTTGATGTTGAGTGGACGTGTGCCAAAGGTAGCCGCGACGCGCTGGTGTATCTCCGTCGCAATGGTCTTGAAACTACCCAATACGTCCTTGGAGCGAGGAGTATCGCAGATCAACTGCCACTCCTCCAACTTCTTGAACAGCGGCAATTCAGCAGCCAGAAGAGAAATCTCTTTTTCACCTTCTTGTAACAAACGACCCCGCTCCAAAGATCCTGCTATCTCTTGACACCTGAAACCCAACACCTTGAGGTTCTTGTGGTTCTCCTGGAGAATCTCGATCGTCGCCATGTCTAGTGATGGTTTGCCGAGACTCAGGAAGCACTCTTCGAGTTCGCTGTGTGAACTGAGAATATGTGCGTCAAAGTCAGTTTGCCAATCTGCACCAGCTTCTATCTCAAGCTTCTTCAATGTCGAAAATGACTTGCAGAACTTGGCTAATCCGAAAGCTTCATCCGGCTGAAGATACTCCCCATAGCTGTATATATTGATCTTGACCGTATGAAGATGAAGAGGGTCCTTTGAGCTCATCAGGTGCTCGAAAAGTTTCTTCAACCAGCAGCATTGCTTCACCCGAAGAGTGCGAAGAGTCGTGATGCTGAATGAAGTAAATATTGCAGGCCGTAGTTGCCGGAAATCGAGGCCAACAAGACTCAGCTCTCTGAGCCCGAACGGCTTCGAAGGCAAGTGAAGACCAAAGTTATCGAAAGGGTTCTGAAGATAGAAGGTCGGAGAGTCCCTAGTCGTATGTCGGCCAAAGACCACAAGCTCATCAATACTTCGAGTCTCGATACCCATCATCTGGATGACGTTTTGCGCCACACTATGCGGGGTGCCGGAGTCCAATTGCTGGCTGGGATCGTGATCTCCTACGACGCTGATCTCCCTAGCCAGGGGTTTTTCTAGTTGCTTGTCTGATTGGAACCGGATAATAGCCGAGTGGTTGAAGATGCCACCATCTTTGAAAGGCCCCGAGTTGATATGTCCAGGTCGGCAAGTCTCGCGAAGCGGTCGCATTGGAAGATCGAGGTTGCGAAGTTTAGATCTGAGTTTCTCACCACGCTCCTTGCTGGTGAGAAGGCTGTATAGTCCGACGTACGACTTGTAATTGAGAGAACCCACGAAGCGTAGCGACACTGGGCTGAGCTCCTTGAGACGGTTGAGAAGACGCTTAAAAAGCCTTGTTCCACGATCATTATCCAGTACATTGATACGAAGATGCCGAGTGAAACGCAAGTTTTTGAGAACGATCGAGAATTGAGCGGGGGTCGTCTTGGACGTTATCCGGCCGACCACGATGTCGATATCCCGGAATCGTGCCTCCGTTCCAACTCGGTGCATTGCCTTGCAGGTCATGGACAGTTGCACTTGACTCTCCTTTTCGCACTACCCAAGTTAGCTTCAACACTCTGCTGGAGCGCCAGTCACGTTACGACCGAGTTTGAGCGAATACCAGGGAGTACTTACATAGTCAAACATCATCATAATCAGTTCATCGGGAAGATCTATGGCGGTCGCATACAGTGTAGTTACTGGAGGGGCGGCCAACGCTTTGCCGGAGCGAGCCGTACTACGAGTGTGCCTATCTCTCGCGGCCGCGCGCCTTGCCTTCCTTGCCTTGGTCCTGGAGGCGGCGTTTTTGTTCGGGGCGTTTTCTGCAACCTTGCGAGTGTCAGGTCGCCTTGTCGATGTGGTTTCCGCCGTGCGCTTCTGCGTCTGCTTCTGTTTCTTCTTGTCGTCGGTACTTGGCGAGTGAGATCTGCGTCGCTTGTTGGACTTGATCGATTGATGGTGGCCGGGAGCCATGGCGGGTATGCAGTAAGGGGGATAAGGTACGATCTCGGTGTCAGTGGTTCAAAGAACGTAGAGCACGCCAAGTAGAGGAAGCAATTTTAGTACGTCTGTGCGTCTAGGCACCCTTCGCGGTGCAAGTGAATAACGTGATCAAAATACCTGACGGACCACCACGTGGGGGGGCACGAGCCAATACGGCCGCCGGGGTCCGACAGGCTGCAATAATAACAAGACTGTCCTTCCTGACTGTCCTTGCTTTCCTCCCCTCCGCCCACCTTCCCACTTCTCTTCGGTACCGTTGAGTACCTCTTTTGTTCCGAAACCTTCGCTCACATGGATGGATCGCGCCGTTTACGGTGTAAGTCGACCGTCCTACGAGGCCCATCATGCTGCCCCCAGACCTGATGGTCATACCATGTGTACAAAGGGCCTGCTACGCTGTATGACGGGTTCTTGTCGTCATCTGTGAGAGCGGGCTCCTCGTGCGGGTGTTATGGGTAGCCACGGACCGAACGGAAGAAACGTGCGCTTGGCCCTCATCTCGCGCAAGAGTTCTTGGAACTACATTCCTTGGGCTGGACCTTGAGCACCCAACTGGGCGAGGACGTTCAATAACCGCGAGACGGACGTGAGTGACGGTACCACACGAAGGTCTCGAGACCTAGGCGAGAGCGTGTTGGGGCTCTTGCTGACGATCGAACGGCGCATCCCAACGCGCTCCGATGCGCATGGTAACATATAGTAAGCCCCCAACTCTTGATTTCGCGAGCACATAACCCCCAAATAGATTGCCCGACCCCCGGGCCAACACAACGGCGGAAATGTAAGAGCAGAGGTCTCACGAGAGCCCAAGTGCGAGCTGCGTTGGGGGCTCGTACTGACGAAGCGGAGGATAATTACCCACCCTTTTTTCGTTGATTCTACTGCTTCATGCAGTGTGTTGAAGAAGAGAGCTACGCAAGAGTGTGTCAAGAGCACGAAACTGGTGCCCTCAACTAGATGTGACAATACGCTCACAACTCTCACCCGGTGAAGAAA